CTTCTCTCAATTTAGTGCATTTCTTTTATCTAATAAAAATCAATAATTTAGAAATTGATTATGTCTAATCTTGTATAAAGAGCATCATCTAGCACCTTTAACCCTTATTATCTCCGTGTTAGCCCACTTACATCTATTAAAAATTTCGTCATTTTTTGGGCCACTTTTGAAAGCATTTATTTATTTTCTTCTACTACGACTTGAATCCCATTTTTATTGTTTTTCGAAAAGGAAAAATGGTGCATATGGCATGTGCTCAAAATTTCAGTCTCAAGGATTCGTAACCAAAAACACCACAAAGCCTCGTAACCTGTTCATAGCCACAAAGCCTCATAACCAAGTTCATGACCAATCACCCCAAGTTTGACCATCACAAAGCCTCACAAGTAATTACATGATTCATAATCAAGACCAAATGGCTTGATAACTGCTAGACCATAGAATTAGCGTTTTTTTATTACAGATTCAGTTTTCAACTATGTCCTTTATTTGTTTAAACTATTTACCTTGTTTGGTTACAGGTTTCTATTTTTGTACTACTTGGGATTGTCGTTGCAGGAGCTGCCCTAGGGTATTGGATGGTGCGGAAATTTGTTATTGCAGAAGACGGAAGTGTGGATGTTGGTGTAGCTCAATTTGTGAAATGGGCCATGCGTGTCATCGCAGCAACATTTATCTTCCTGGTGGCTATTGCGTTCATGTTAATAAATAGTGTGAATATGCTCCACTTGCATATCTCTGGACCAAATGGACGTATTGTGATAATCAGAGTGCTGTCCAGATTGCCCATAATTCAGTCTTCCATGAGCGGACAAAGCATATTGAAATAGACTGTCACTTTGTCAGACAACATCTTCAGGTTGACACTATTACTCTGCCTTTTGTTCCCTCTCTTTAGTTGGCCGATTTTTTTACGAAGACTCACATTGCTGTTCGTTTTCGTTTTCTTCTTGACAAACTTTCGATGCTTTTTGTGCTCGCATCCTTAGTTTGAGAGGAAGGGGGGGGGGGTGTGAATTATTGTATTTTATGTTATTCACGAAGGGTAGTTTAGTCTTTTAGGTTATTAGGGTTTTATTCTATTTAGTTTATATATTTGTACTCAACTTTTGATTGATTACTTAAAATATTCAATATACAAAATTCCTCCTCTCTTTTATCACCTTCTTCACCTTGAGTTTCGACGACTTCTTAGCTACATTACTCAAAGAGGACGCCCTTTATTCTTTGGCAAAAAGACTACCATTTCCTACCTTTACCAACCAAAATGCAAAGGAACCTCCCCCTTCAGTATGAAGGAACTAACATCCATACGGCTACCTTGTCACAAAATCCTTCTATAAAATCCTTCTCACCTTCACTACCCATCAGTTGGTTAAGGACTTCACATAACCAATCTAACTTCTCATGCTTTAGTCTGACCTAGTGATTCAAGCTTCGCCTTCTCTCTCTGAGCATCAGGAAGTCACCATCTCCATCTTTATCATCTTCCTCTTCAAGGGCAATCTTAGACCATCCCAACTAAAGAGCTATGTTACACGGACTCTTTGTATTTTGAGAGGTACCCGTGTCAACACGACATGACACGACACGTGTACGGGTGGGGAATACAACTAAATACAAACGGATACGGTTGGTTTTCTTTTCTAATTTTCACAACAACAACAAAGGAGGAGAGAAACATGACTTGTGACCTCATCGTCGTCATCGTTCATCATCTCTGTCTTTTGTATTCATCTTCGTTGATGGTTGCTAGGGTTATATTAAAGGGTTTGGTGCATTTGGGCTTATTTAGGATACACTTTGGTCTGTTAATAAAATGGGCCTTGTAATAAAAATTAGGAGGTTATTGGGCTGAGCTTCTCATGTTTGGGCCTAATACTAATTAAGTTGGGATTTAACTTATATCCATGGAAAATCAATTATTCATTTTTAAAAAATAATGTTTTATATATTTTTTAACTACAAATGTGTAGCATCATCATAAAAATATGTAATCATTCTGAGCCATAAATTATTGTAACTTTATTAGAAAAATACATAATATTTTTTAGCACATCCATGTTTGGCCGTAGCCGCGTACCTGTGTCTAATTTTTGGGTACTTTTTAGACATATCCGCGTATTCCTCATTTAGAGGTTTGCCGAGTCCAACCCCTTGGTACATAGCTACACCCGACACTCGTACCCGAGTCCATGTAACGTAGCTAAAGAGTGACTCTCTTTGCTGAAACCTTCGTCCCTTCCCTCAATTTAGTGCATTTCTTTTATCTAATAAAAATCAATAATTTAGAAATTGATTATGTCTAATCTTGTATAAAGAGCATCATCTAGCACCTTTAACTGTCCTTGTTATCTCCGAGTTAGCCCACTTACATCTATTAATAATTGTCATTTTTTTGGCCACTTTTTAAAGCATTTATTTATTTTCTTCTACTACGACTTGAATCTCATTTTTATTGTTTTTTGAAAAGGAAAAATGGTGCATATGGTATGCGCTCAAAATTTCAGTCACAAGGATTCATAACCAATTTGGTTCATAACCAAAAACACCACAAAGCCTCGTAACCTAGGCTCTTCTGTTTATATCCACAAAGCCTCATAACCAAGTTCATAACCAATCACGCCAAGTTTGACCACCACAAAGCCTCACAAGTAATTACATGATTCATAGTCAAGACCAAATGGCTTCATAACTGCAAGACCATATAATTACCGTTTTTTTATTACAGATTCAGTTTTCAACTATGTTCTCCTTTATTTGTTTCAACTATTTACCTTGTTTGGTTACAGGTTTCTATTTTTGTACTACTTGGGATTGTCGTTGCAGGAGCTGCCCTAGGGTATTGGATGGTGCGGAAATTTGTTATTGCAGAAGACGGAAGTGTGGATGTTGGTGTAGCTCAATTTGTGAAATGGGCCATGCGTGTCATCGCAGCAACATTTATCTTCCTGGTGGCTATGGCGTTCATGTTAATAAATAGTGTGATAATGCTCCACTTGCGTATCTTTGGACCAAACGGAAATCTGTGTGCAATTTGCCTTGCATTCCCGCAATTTCTTCCTACTCTCAGAATTGTATTATTTTGAATTTTTTATTCTTATTTTCTGTCAGAGTACTCTTGTCCTTTGGCAATGGGGGCATTGGCTTCTTGTTTGTCAATCTGCTTTCTTATCACTTCCTTCAAGTGGAATGGTCCAGAGTAAGTTACTTGTACCATTTTTTCCCTACTCTCCCCTTGCATCATGCTGGCGGACTGGTAATTGTTATACCAAATAAATGTTCGTATAATTGATGTTTAACTCCATTTATTCAACTTATTAAATCCAAAACAAATAGATCTTATTAGCTTTTTGGGATGTTGAAATCCATTTTGGATTAGTCAAAATGGGTGGTATGCTTGATTTTTTTTTTTTTTTGGGTGAATATAAAAATTTTGGGTGAATAGCTTGACTTAATATATGAATCATCTTGAATATTGATTGAAGAGAGATCTGCTCAGTTGATAGAACAGATTTAAAAAATCTTTCGTTTGCTTGGTTTAACAAGATCTTAACTAATTATTTGTATGTAGTTCTACCATTACTTTTGGGAATTCAATTTATTCTGCAAATGGGAATCCTTGGCGGGGTAGAGGACGAACAAATGTAAGACAAAATCGTGCTGAATTTCTCAGCAGGTCAGGGATGGTGGCTTCACGGGGAACACTGTGGAACAGCCCAAGGAGACCTTCTGGTTGGTCTGACTCTCCTGTTAAAGGTACACACTTTTGTTAAACTCTGCATTTTCTCTGCCTAATATTTGTTTTATCTGTTGAAACATTTTTTCTAAAAAGATTTAAGCTTCTGCAGAGCATTGTTATTTCCCTCTTATTTTCCTTTGACATCATGGATCACTTTCATAGTTACTACGTAAAACTCCCTATTAGATCTCTTATGAACATGAACATGCATGGGCTAGGATGTTTTCTGTAAGCAACATGTTTTGAAAAATAGGCAAGGATCACTACATCGGTGCCTTAGTGCAATGAAAAATAGGAAATGGTCCTTATGTTTTCTTGGACAAGCACCTGTAAAGAAATTAGCCCAGGATTGTTGGTTTACATCAGCAAGTTGGAAAAGGGAACACTGACAGATAAAACTATGGAATTAGTAGATTCAATGATTAGAAGGAAAGTATAACATGCTTACAAGAAACTAAGAGAGTAGCTGAGAAAGTAAACGAAATAGAAAAAACTCGGTATAGCATTTTGTATGCTGGAAATATTGGTTAGTAGATAGATTTTTGCGAGTCTTGTGTGCTTGGGTGTCAGGGTGTGTGGATTCTGATTTGTTTACCTTTTTGATTTCCTTGATGATGTAATTGGCTAGTGCTCCTTTTTATGGGGACTTTTTTGAATCTTTAGCATCTTTTTGATGCTCTTCTTCAATAAAATTTATGTTTTTTTAAAAAAAAAGAAAAAAAAGATGTAGAAATGGTGTGGCTAAGCATTTGAAAAATAAGGTAGTAATAGTCATGAGAATATGCTACATAATAATATTAATTAAAATTGTAACTGGAGAGTATAATTAGCGCCTATGCACCCCAAATAGGATTGGAGAAACATATTAAAAGGAAATTTTGGGATCAACTGGATGAGTTAATACAATAAATATTTGTAGAGGAGAGAATAATTATAGGTGGAGATTTCAATGGTCATGTCCGAAAATATAAGCAAGTGCATGAGAGGATACATGGTGGATATGGTTTTGGTGATCGAAATGAGGGCGGAGAGAACATCTTAGATTTCGCAGTAGCATTTTATCATGTAGTAACCAACAACTTTTTAAAAAAGGAGGGTTAAACACATAAGTTTTAAAAATGGGTCAAATAAGAGTTGGATAGTAAGAAAAATAGACTGCTGAATATGTAAAGGTTTCAAGGTTATTTCCAAAGGAAGTTAATGGCACAAAGTAGGCTAGCAATATTTAATATATAGTATTATATACAATAATAAACAGCAAAATTAAAGTGCGAAATATTTTAAAAACTCAGGAACTAAAAATTGAGGATAAAGTGTTTAAAGAAGTAACGCGGGGTTTGAAAGGTGTTACTAATAACATGTGGAATACAATAGCATAATGCATTGAAAGAATATCGAAAGCAGTGCCATGGAGAGTCAAAGGGAAAAGCTCCTATATCTAAATAAACTTGGTGGTTGAATAGTGAGATATAAGCCATAGTAAGACAGGATAAAAATGGGAATAATTTTAAGACATAAGTTGACCAATAAGGAGGTTGGATGAGGAGATTCAGAAAAGTGAATGATATTTTGAGAAATTGTTAAGTGAAAATCATTTTAAAACTTGTAAGGAGAGGAATATGATACCCTTGATGGAACTAGAGAATATAAGTTTTATCATCGAACTAAGAAAGTTTGAGGTGGAATTTGCATTAAAAAAAGAAGAAATAAGGCAAGGCATTAGATTTATCAAAACATAAAAATAAATAAATAAATAAATAAGGGAAGGCATTAGGACTAGATTGTATCCCTATTGAGGCTTGGAAATGCTTAGGTAAGTAGTTGTCTGGTTAACAAAATTCTTTTATAAGATTCTAATTACTAGGAAAATAGCTGACGAGTAGAGAGAGTATTTTAATACCTATATATAGAAATAAATGTGATATCCAAAATTGCAACAATTATAGAGATATTAAGTTGATAAGTCAATACAATAAAATTGCTGGTGAGAATGATTGAGCATAGCTTGAGAGTTATTACAATAGTGTTAGAGAATCTGTTTGGATTTATGTTTGGTAGATCAAATATGGAAACACTATTTTTACTAAGAAGATTAATAAAGAAGTACAAAGAGAAGATGAAGGATCTAAATATGGTTTTTATAGATTTAAAAAAAAAAAAAAAATAACCTGTGATAGGGTGCCTAGAGATATAATCTAGGAAGCACGAATATGGATATGAGATACAGATATGGCGATATGACAAAACCTAAAAAGTAGGATACGAGTACGGCTAGAATACATTTGTAAAAAATATATTTTAAAAAAACTTAGTAGTAGGAGTTATACATAAGCTCAAGAGTGTTGAGAGATCACATTGTAATTTTATAATGCAAAACATTAATCTTTAAAAATTAGGTATTAATTTTAGACAATAGCTTGTTTACTTTTTAAATTTTCAATAGGTCTTGCAAATATTTCATTTTAATGTCAAGTTTAATATGTTTATATTACAATAATACTGCAATTGACAACTTGTTTCTGTGCTTTCTCCTTTGGCACTAGTAAAAATATTGTATTCAAGTTTACTCGCTTATTTATTTGTTAATTTATTAATTTTACTATTGCTATATTCTCTTGTTAATCTTTACTATCTATTTAGTTATAGAGGATATGCATGAAACAATTAGGATACATCAATTTGGCAAATTTTATTACTTTAAGTCTCACTGTGTTCTTTTCAAATAACTAAATAAAGTATTCGGAGTAATATATGACCTGGAGCATCCGATACTTCAAATTTAAGTATCCGATGCTCCAAAATTAATGAAAAAATAATTAAGTATCCAATACTTTTAATAAGTATCCGATATGTATTCACGAGTATCCAAAGAGTATCGGTATCCAATACGTATACAATGTGGATACGTCTCCCTTTTTTAAGTGTCCATGCTTCATAAGATATAGTATGGTGAGTGTTGGTGAAAAGGGTGTGACCAAAAGGTATATGCATGCAATAAAACACATTTATAATGAGTTATTGACCACAATTAGATCACTTGTAGGAGAAACTAGTAAATTCTCAATCACTATTGTATTGCATCATGGGCCAACTTTGAGTCCTTACCTATTTGCCATGGTCATGAATTAACTAAACACATTTAGGATGATAGTTCGCAGATGATATTGTTCTAGATGAAGGAAGAAATTAACATTGAACTGCAAATATGGAGAGAAGCACTCGAGTTAAAAGGGTTTAAAATTAGTAAAAATAAAACTAAATATACTGAGTGTGACTTAGCAACAATAGAAATAGAAATGATAGAGCAGTGAAGATTGAAAATTAGAAATAACAAAGTGAACTTTTCGTTACCTAGGTTTGATTATTAATAGGGATAGTGAGGTTGAAAAGACGTGATTCATAGAATTAAAGTAGGTTGGCTTAAGTGTGGGAGTGCATTTGACATATTATGTGATTGATGAATTCTAACAAAATTGAAAGAAGAATTTTATAGAACTATAAGGCTAATGATGCTTTATGGGACAAAATATTGGGCAACTAAAATACATGCCAATAAAATGAGTGTAGTTGAGTTGAAGATGCTTAAGATGGATGTGTGGTAAGACTAAGAAAGATAGAATTAGAAATAAATATATTCTTGAAATGGTAAGCACGGGTACAGGTATGAGTATTGGTACTGGTACGATACGGGTACGTCGATACAGTAAAATCCAAAAAGTAGGGTAAGGGTACGGTTTGGTGCGCTTGTAAAAAAATATTTATTTTTAATTTAGAGTAATGTAAAATTTAATTAAATGGTTTAATTTGTTAAGATCCAACCTATAATTAACATTTAATTCCAAAAGTAAAGGTATAAATCAAAATTAAATGTCAATGTATTAATTAACTTACAAACCATAGTTTAATTTTAAAATCATGTTAAGCATAAAACTAAAATAAAAAAGAAATCTAATGAAAGGAGTTTTATCTCCGTAGTAGAAGAAAATATTGTTTCAATTGAGGTACGGTACGACTTGGGTATATACTAGGTACGTCTGGGTACACCAAAAATTAAGAAGAAAAAATTTGGGTATGTGTTTCGTGTACCCGGTACGTATGCAGAAGTACCATACGAGGTACTATACGCTGGTAAGTACCCAGTACGGGTACGACATGTTTTTCGAAGTATCCATGCTTGATAGGGGTAACACGGATTAAAAGATAAGTTGAGAGAGAATAGGTTAAGATGGTTTGGTCATTTACAATGAAGAAATGTAGATGCAATGGCAAGGAAGAGTGATATGATTTCTATAAATAAAATGTTGGGGGAAGGGGAGGACTTAAACTAACATGGGATATAGTCATAAAAAAAGATATGAACGTATTTAATTTATTTGAACTTGTAGCCATCCATAGAGCAAAATGGCAAAAAATGATTGACGTAGATTGGGAAACAATGCTTAGATTGGATTGGTTTGGAAGCAGGAAACGGAAACTGAAACTTCATCCAAAAATATTATGGAAAATGTGAAACATTAGGTGATGTAAAGATTGAGTAGGTTGAATAAAAAAAAGAGTAAAGTTTGAATAGGATATTTGTAAGAAAAATTTATTAAGAAACTTAAAAATAGCAATGTAAATTATTTTTATATTTTCATGATCAATTAAAATACTACTACTACTACCCAATATCTATGGATATTTTATTAGAGAAATCATATATTATTGTTAAAAAATAGTATTTGCGAGTATACGAAGATGTAAAAATTATGAGAAGTGCATTTCTAGGGAGTTTTTAAAACATTTGTTTGAAAGAGTTTCTCGCAAGGTTATTCAAATTGAGTTGGAGTTTTTCCTTTCATATGTAAATTGTATTTGAATTGTTGGATTGTTTTGGAGATGATTTTTAGAGGTTTTCCTTAAAATTTCATGAGAGTTCTGTGTCTGTTCCTGAAATGAGTTTACAGGGAAACAAGTTTCCTCTCGCAAGAGATTTCCTAGTCTCCCTTTATCCCTCTTTATTTTCTTTCTTTCCTCTTGTATGTGGTTATTGCTGTCACTAGAAATATGTGTACAAAGAAAGTACGAAGTTGTGGAGGTTCTTAGGATGAGAGAAAGCTGTGTTTATTGTTTATTACAGAATGTATGGTGGTGGCAGTAGTGTCTGGTTGAGTGAGAGAGTGGTGAAAGAGTGTTTAGTTGGGTTTCTGAGCCTAAAATGATAAGATATTAGTGATACTGATATTGAAATGGTCTGGTGGTGAGGCCAACCCGTCCCAACGTCATTTAGGTTCAAAGCCAGTAACGTGGTGTTGACATGCTTATGAAACTTTGTTTGAGATTCTGTAGTCAGATTTGCTTGTGACAATTTTTGGCGTTCCTTACCTTAGAAAGATGTATTTGAGTAAATTGTATAGGGGTCATAACGTTATCTGTGCCTAAAATGATGAGGTATAAGTAGTGGTGATAATGAAGTGGTTCGGTGGTGAGCCCACACCGTTCCCAATTTCATTTAGGTTCAAAGTGGGTAGCCTGGTGTTGACTTGCTTATAAACTTTGTTCAACCTGATGCCATTTATTGCTGATGTGTTTGTTAGGCTAGCAGTTTCAGTTAGTGCTAGCTCTAATTAAGTAATTGTTGTGTTGTTTTTAAGATTATGAGCTTTAATCTTGAAATGTTTATACTTTGTTCTATCTTGACTTTCAATTGAGATTATAAGTGATTTAAAGAATTATGTTGAGGATACATCATCACCTGTCTGGACTGCAACATGATGGTTAAATGTAGGCATGCAATTCCACAGTCCCTTTCAATGTATGTTGCATGAATAACCACAAAATTATGTTTCTCTATCCTAATGAAGTCTGTATGATGGTTTTTATGGAGCATGGAGCATTAAATGAGATGTATGATGTGAAATTTTTAGCAAAATTGGATGTAGACACACTAGGACATGACAATATCTAACAAGAAATATTTTGATGGGGGAGAAGCCTACGTTTTTAATATATTTATCCAAATTTGTGCGTTAGTAGTTGCACAAATTGGGAATCAAAGATTAATGAACAGTAAGTGTTGCTTTAAAACTGTTCCTACTTTCTTTATATCTTTATCTTTACGACAGTATTCTTTTTTGTATATTAGAAGTGGGGTTCATGCTTGACTTGGCAAGGTAAATGTTCAGTTTCTTTTGAAATATTTCATGTTCTTGACATTTATTGGCTTATGTTGCCTGATATGGTGTCAGTTTCAGAGCTCCTATGATCAACTGTTCATTCTTCATGGTTTGGTTTTGACCATGATATTGTAATTATAGTAAAAATGAAATGAACAAAGTAGGTTTTTGGTTGGGAGGATTAATCTTGTTGAGGATGTTTCATGCGGGCACTCTTTCTAAAAATGTCTATAAAGTACAATGGTACTCGGGTAAATTACACTATATATAGCATTGGCATTGACCTTTAATTTGTGCTTCATTAGTTTGTTTTTGGCTATTGCAGGTATGATATCTCCGACCAGTGGGAGGGTGACAAGAAATCAACAGGATTACTATTCAACATTCCATAGGACAGCCAACAGAAAGAAGTTTTCAAAAAAAGAGTGGGAGAATTTCACCCAGAAATCAACCTGACATGCTGTGGCTGAGTTGGCATCGTCTCCAAAGTTCACTGATTGGATTATTAAGCATGCTGACAGCAGATGATAATTCAGATAACACAATTGGAAGTGGCTCAGATTCCCCATATGAGAATCTTGTAGAAAGTGGCGATCGATTTAGTTTGTGCAAATGGTAGCAGCAACCTTAGTAGGAAATTAGTTACTTGTAGCAGTACAATGAGGTTGAGGCTAGGAATGGTGCTCATTTAATTTTTCTTCTTTGTTTTAGGTTTACTTTTAATACATCATATTATGTCATTAAGCAATTGTGGCAAATCTTTTGAAATCTTCTAATCATGTTATAGTGCGTGCTCTTTCTAATGCCTCTTCCTACCAAATACTTCTAATGGTTGGATAAAAAGAGCATTGTCAAGTGTTTTAACTGTCTCATTCAGTTTTAACCACTTATTCAGTCACCCAAAAAAAGGGCAACACAGGTGCAATTTCAACCTCCGTTTGCATTTGTTTTGGGAGATGTATGTGCATATCTTAGTAGGTAGACTTATTTTCCAAGAGGTCATGTGATAATTAATGGCGTTTTTATAAAAAAAAGCGTCATTAAATGTTAGTTTTTAACAACAATTTGAAAATTTATCACAAAAAGTCACTAATTATCAGTTTTTAACGATAGATTTAGAAAATTGTCACGTAAAATGTCATTAACTGTCAGTTTTTAGCAATAGATTTAAAGAATCGTCACAAAAAAGTCGCTAAGCATGAGTTTTTAGCGACAACGTTGATAGGATCAACTTTCAACGACAAATTGATAGGACTTAATGAGAATTACGTTTAATTACTAGGACCCGTTGGTAATTTATCTTTATATTTTAGTGGGACTTGGGAAAACAAAGTACATTTTAGTGGGGAATTTATCTCGGTTGCAATAGGGGTGGGAAGAAAGAAAAAAAAAAAAAATGATGGAATGTATCCCTTGAATTGACCAACCTATCCTTTATTTCTGTTCTTTCCTCACTATGCTCTCCCATTTCAACTTTGGTTGGCACTTCCTGCTAGCCACCACTGCCATGTCCTCCCTTGTTACCTCCAAGCCTTCTCCTACCCATCCTCGCTACCCTAGTCCTTTCCATCATTTCCCATCATCCCTACCACTGTTACACCTCATTGCCCCATTGTTGCTTCTGTCAGTCTTAACTCCTTCCCTTTTCACCTAAGCCTTCACCATCACAACTACCCTTTCCTATAAACCCTAACCATTGCAGCTACTTGAACCTCTTAGCCTTTCTCCATCGCGACCTCACACCTCTACCCTTTATTGTTGGGAAACATGTTCGGTGAGTGTTACTTATGCTAAGATGTACGGGGTAAATTTGTGTGCGGTTGTCACTCTTGTCACTTGCATCACACATAATTAAAACTTGCCCCCAGATGTTTCGCAGTAGTAGATGTAATAGTAAGGAAGGATAATATAATTGTATAAAGTGAAAATTGAATGCTTAAAAAGGATTTATACAATTGATCAAATTTATCCCAAAGTTTAGTTTGGTTTGATTTTATTTGTTCATATGAGCAATTGGTG